GTGAAAATGTAGTTGACATGGAAATCACAGATGGCGCAGTATCTCTCTGTGGTCAATTAGGGCATCAGAAACCACGAATCTAATCTATCCATTCTTTAATTAATAACTTTTGGTCGATTGCATCAAATATTGAGATAGATCACAAGAAGTACTAATGTAATTTCGAGCATTTAACCGAAATATTCGATTTGTTAACTAAAATATTGTCTAAAATTAACGAAACGATTAAGCAAATCACTTTTTCTAATTGAAGCGAACTAGTTCGGTCAAGTGAATTAAAATTCGATTGACTCAACCGAAATATTTTCTGGAATGAACCGAATGCACTTAAACAATTTTGTTCAATGAACCAAATTTGTTTCTCTACGTGCACAAAGCCGTCTAACTGACACAATAACTCTTCATTTAGGACTCTGCACTTGGACCAGCCAATTTTAATTGAAATGTCATATAAAATTATTTGAAAGAAAGAATAAAACACTGAAATAATGTGCAGGCAGGTGCGGTTTACGGTTAGTATCTGAAACGCGCTTGAAACACGCTTTCGCGATAAAATATCTTTTTTATTTTTATTTCCTGGACTGCGGGGATGAAATCTCGAGAATTTAAAAAACCCACAGTTTACCATGCTATCGTATAAGTAAAGGCCATTATCTCGAGTGCGCGGTGCACAGAAGCTTCGTTCTCCGAAAGTCTGAAAGCTTCGGTATGGATCTATTGAAGCTTTTTACCGGGCTTAGCTTTGTACCGATAACTCCTATATCTCCGTTATCGGTCTATTTTTAATATCCACCGAACCTGCAAAACTCTACGCCGCAAATTACGCGTAATTCCCTCTCCGTCACGCTCAATTGAAACACTTTTATCGTGACACGATACCGGCGAACCGCTCTAATCGATGAAACTGCTTCCTATTTTTTTTTTTTATCACCGCACGCTTTTCAAAGTCTTTGACGTAGTGGGCATTTTTTAAGCCCTTTTCCCTGATGCGAATACGCAATTCCATTCCGCACGACCAGGGAATGCGTTGACGTAACACGAGTTTGCTCTTTTTACTTGCGTGTACGGTAATTGCAGTATAGACAGGACGTTTCATTTCCGAAGGCATTGAAGAGAAAATAAATCCCAATCACAGTTCAGTCCTCGGATATTGAATGAGATAATACGGCTGAGTTTCCGCGGACGCGTATTACCCGATTTAAATTAATTGAATATTATCCCTCCGTGCCTCACGTTTATTCCCTAGTAGCATAAAATAATTTCTAAATATTTCTTTGTAATCGTTGCTAAATATCTCAAGCGACAGATTGTTTAAGATTTCTTGTAGATTTCATTCGAAGATATCCAAAATATTTCTTGAAAATCTCAATGACATATTTAGTTTCAATAATTTATAAACATGTATAGAAATTATACTTTTTAATTTGTGAACATGTAACTAACATACATTTTTTACTTCACGACTATGTCGGCACTTCATTTGGTATAAAAAAACATGAGAATTTTCCTAATACTTCCGTTCCGCTATTTCATTACAGGAGCAAAACGTGTGATTTTGATTTTAAATATTTTTAAAACGTTTATAATGTATTGGGAAGATAATATTTAAAAAATACTTGGATTAAAATGAAACGAAATGTTTTATATATCTGGTAGAAAAATATTATGAAAACACATGGAGGTAATATTATATAAATATTATAGGGATAATATTCTAAAGTAAACGTTTCACAAATATTTCAAATGTCTGGTAAATATTTACAAAATGTACGATATTCGTTAAATATATAGAATATATAGGACAAGTATTTTGTGCTACTAGGGTTATATTTTTCAGAGTATTGATGTTATATAGAAATATGTTAAATAATTGAACACGTAACATTAAATTCACTAGGCGATGAAACGCTTACCAAACTTCTACAGAAATTAGATCTTTAAGAACTTCTTTGTACCCACTTGACATTTCATTCATGACATTTGCAACAAGAAAATGCAAAAAGGTATCACTTTATTAACAACAAGATTCTCAAAACATGGCTATCATGAGCTACGTTTCACCACATGCACACATTGATTGATAGATAAAAAGAAATTAGAACAAGTCCTGTGTTATCTCCCTGATTAGAATCCGCGTGTACTCTTGTAAATTATATCGGTGTACCCTAAAAAAGGAGGGAAAGACTGAATTTGCAATGAATTTACTGTAGGATCAAAATTCAAGTGTCAGGATTAACATGAACGGTTGATTTATTAATAAAAAAAAATTAATATAAAGAAATTGAATACATTTTGGAGTACCACTTAAGAATCTGAGAAAAGGGACATGATTTTTCCTCGGACTTCACTCGAGCTCTCCTCAATCAGAACTGACTCACTCTAATTTCTTTCTCTCTCAATTCATATTCCTCACTCTCTCATTCCCACACTCATCAATACATTTCTTTGTGGACCAAAATTCTCAGTCACTGAGTCACACGGCTTCCCACACTTCACGAACTCTCAACCACACATAAACGGTATCACCTATCGAACTCTCATTTAATCTAAATACTTCTCATTTCATCAACATCAGTTGATTTATTAAAAAAAGAATTTATATATAGAAATTGAATACATTTTGGAGTACATCTTAAACATCTCAGAAAAGGTACTTGATTTTCCCTCCGACTTCACTCGAGCTCTCCTCAATCAGAACTGACTCACAATCGATCATTCTCGTCCAGACTCACTCTAATTTCTTTCTCTCTCAATTCATATTCCTCACTCTCTCATTCCCACACTCATCAATACATTTCTTTGTGGACCAAAATTCTCACTCACCGAGTCACACGGCCGCCCGCACTTCACGAACTCTCAACCACACATAAACAGTATCATCTATCGAACTGTCATTTAATCTAAATAGATTCTCATTTCACACCACAATCATACAAACATTATATTTTACTCTAGTTTCTATTTAGTCTTACTCTCAATCATTATTGCCTTATTGGCGACACAACTATTCGTATAGCTAGTCTTTCAACTTTTTTTTTATTCTTTTAACTTTATCGGACCGCACAGAGCACTGACACTCCATTACTATGACCTTCTGTCGTGATATCAACTAATTCCATCACCAGTCCGTAACGAGTTACATTCAAAGCTCAGGATCGTTTTTATTCAGAAATTGCCGAGTCTTATCAGAAATTGTCGCAATCACAGCACGCTTTGCCGAGTGTGTGCGTGACAGCCGAGGATTCCGAGGTAATTTATTCGGACAGGAGTGATAACGTAATCAGGGCCAGAAGTGGGTGCATCGGGCCGACTTCCAGTCGGCTCTGTGTACAAACAAGCCCAGCGCATCTCCACGCGACGCAATAAATCCGCTTATAAAGTACATTTGCGCCTTGATTACATCGGTAATGAACCATTCATTCCTCCACACGGATTTCGACTCGGATTACGAGTCGTCATCGATTGCACCCAGCGATTTCGTTGCAAGGACGCCTTAACGAGACATTCATTCCTTTGCCACCGCATTGCGAAAATCTAATGGACTGTCCACAATCACGAGCTGACTATCGATCTCGGCTAATTATCTCGAGAGCAAGAATAAACGAGGTGTGTCATACCACTGCACGAGGGAAATGTTATCGCCAGCACAAAGATGGGAACAACCATTTTACCATTTCGAGGGCATTTTAAATGATCTTTCCTCTTCCCATTCGTTATAAATTCAGTGCTTTATTCTTACTCAGGTTTTTCGCAATTGCTTTCAGCGATTCCTCTTATAGATATTAGTTCTTCGTGTAGAAAATTTTCAAGGAAGTTAGGATGTCAAACTACCAGTGTGGGGCTTACATTCGAGTGCCAGACCTTTCTAGTCCCACCTAGACATTAACAAAAAAAAACCCTAGATAAAACTGTCATGGATCATAAATTAAATCCTAACTAGATCTCAGCTTGACGTTAATCAGAAAAAAAATTGTCTGGAATGCACAATCAAGGCCCAATGTAGATTTCTTAACTGTGATTGAAAATCCCTAAAATGGACATTCTAGCTGAGACTTATTCAATCTCAAATCTCTTAGTCAGTTTTCCACACATGCAGTATTCAAAATGACGTTACTGCCAAAAAGAGTACAGATGAATTTTAATTTATCGACATCGATTAAATTTCTCAGCGCCTTTCATATCATCTTAAGGTGATGTGGGAGAATCAGTCTACACACGAGCGCGCACACACACACATCCGAGAAGTCAAATCGTTGAGGAAAATGAATACTTTCAGAGAATTCTGAATTGGGTGTACCGATTCGTTTCAAATTTCTCCACGTAAATATGGAGGGTCTAAAGTAGGTCCTGAAACTCATGAAACTTCATTTTTTATCAAAAATTTATTTACTTATCACGGACTAGAGTCAATATGGCGTGATCCGTGGACGTTTTCACTGTTTTACGCTTCCTGGAGACATAGAATCGAAAATGAAGAGATTCAGGACCTAGCTCGAATAATTTAGAATACCATAGAAATGGAATATTACCGAGTCAGATTGAAAAATATGGAAAATACTTTCCCCAACGATTGCAAAACAATGCTGGCTTGTTCAGGGACTAGCCCGTGTTTTGGGAGAAAACATTTAGTTGCAGCTAAACCTCACAGATGGCGGCGGTTAGTCCTAAACAGTCGTTAGAATAATGAATTCCCAGGATTTCGACAGTTTTACATCGATCTCTTGGTCATTACTTTACCGAAATGACGTATGGAACACTTAATTTCGTATAATTCTGAACGTAGACTGTAAAAGACTTCTACGTAAATATAAATGTTGGTAACGGGACGCGCCAGCTTATTGCATCGCTTGAGTATTCAAAATAACGTTATCACCAAAAAGGATATATATGCATTTTAATTTATCGACGTCGATTAAATTTCTCAGCTCCTTTCATATCACCTCAAGTGGAAAAAGCTACTGTGCGGGGCAAGGTAAAGGAGCTTTGGAAATGTGACTCACCGATCGAAGTGTCGTAGGTGTGCAAGTACTCCGAGGTCATGAACTGAGAGACGAGGGAGCTTTTGCCGACAGCCGGTGCTCCCAGCATCAGGACCCGGTACCTCGCGGGACCCTGAGAAGCGCTGCTTTCTCGGGAGCTGGCCAATGATCCTGCGGCGGAGGTCCTCGCCGAGCCAGGATACGAGGCCGTTAAGTGCTCGGTGCTAAAACGGTATTAAATGCCGGGCTTATTTTCATGATTCACGGCACCATTTCGGGGGTACGCTGAAACGAAACGAAACCGCCCTTGACGCGCTCTTAAGGTGAAGTGAAACCCCCTTCAAATCAGTCGACTCGAATACAACACTGTTTTTTAAGGGTGTTAGACCAAACTGTCCGAAACTTTGACACGTCACTCCTGATCATCTAAGAATTGTCCTGACACATTCAAAATTTGGATTTTTTAACAATATTTTTTAACAGCCCAGACCAGAACCAAAATGCCGTCGAGCTGTGATATTTCGATCTATATACAATTATCGAGAGCAGAGCTAAAGATAGGACAAAGGATATTCCTGTTACGAGATACAATTTTCCTGACATGTGTACTGTTATACCGTGAGGTATTTGTCTTCTTGAGGAATCACAACAATTTTATACCACCAACTTTCATAATTAATACTTTATCAATTTTCATGCCGAATGCTATTGGTTCATGACGACGTTTCGATTCAGACATACAGTCGAGTACGAGATACAATTTTGCTGATATGGAACTAACGCTGTGAAGAGGTGTCCATCAATGTTCCCAGGGTTCGGCGAGTGGTAAAAGATTAAAAGGGAGTCATAATGTTAGGACATAACAATTCATACCAAACAGTCAAAATATTTATAAAACTTTTCGCCAAATTGGGTGCACCGAATCCTTTTTGAAACTTCATCACGAGATTACGGAGGCCCTAAGGAAGAACGCGATGCTCTTAAAATGTCATTATTCACAAAAAAGAATAACGTGATCTTGGTTCTAATCTAGGCTAAATAGAAAAAATTTTCATTTTGGAAAATGAAATTTCACGAACATCGCGTTCTTCCTTAGGGCCTCCATAATCACGTGTTAATGTTTCAGATCATTCGGTGCACCCAGTTTGGAGAAAAGTTTTATAAACACTGTCACGTTTTGATATATAGAATGGCCCTTTCATGTCACCTTAAACATACGGTGTTAACCGCGGGAAAGCTCGGGCAAGAAATGTTTCCTAAATACCGGATATAACTACACGCTCGTATAACGCGATTTGCTGCAACGCGGTGAAGAAACTGCGACAACTCTCGTTTTACGCGGCACTCTTTCCGGTTACGGCTTGAAGATAACATTTTTTTCTTCGCTTCTTGTGACGACCGCATTTTAAGCGAGTTCCGAGTCACTTGTGACGTGGAACTTAAGTTGTACTTTTTAGACTAGTTTCGAAAGTTGGATAACATATGGTAGTCGAAAAACGTGGGATGGCTTATTTTTATTCTCATACCATGCGGTGATTTTTTACCCTACAATAAAAAAAAAAACGTTGAACATGTTCCTTTTGTAACGGAGAAGGCATTCTATCACAATTTGAGTGAGTTCCAAGCTTCGAGTAATAATGAATCGTATAGATGTCGTAACGTATCCTCCGCGTTGTATCAAGGCTTAAGGTGAAGTGAAACACGTCGAGGAAATTGATCGACGTCGATAAAGAAGATTTTTTCTAAATACCTACATCGCCGACGTTCGTTTTTATATTGGCAGCTGTGTCGAATTATATTGGGTATTGTCCTAAATGGCATACTCCACCTGTCGTTTTCGCACAATAAATATCAAGAAATCGATGTAAAACTCCAGAAATCCTCTGGATTCATGCTTTCTGGGGTCCTAATTGACTGCAGAGGGACCCCCTGCGCCATCTGTGATTTCCAGGTTAATTAAATTTTCTGGTGCTCCATCATTTATGGTTTCCGTAGGACTCCGTATTTCGTTTCTCACAGCACGTGGTAAACTAGCTATTTTCGACGACAGAACTACATATTTTTTCATTAACACGTTCCGTGCCACGTGTACCACCGATAATACGCGTTAACCTCGGGTGGTACACGCCGTGGCACGGAACATGTTAAGCTCAATGCAAGTTCTTTGAAAAAATAACGCCGGACTAATTTACATTTTTTATTACTTCAAGCAATTATTTGTCCCGTATGCTGCCTTGTAATAGGGTTGCGATTACCACTATTGTGCTTTTCTAAATGAGTAAATATAAGGTAAATGGTGAAGTAACCCTTACTGTGTTACGCTGGCTACATTGACTAAATGGTGAAGTAACCCTTCCTATGTTCTTTTTACTATGTTACGCTGGGTAATGCAACTTCCTCCTAAGGTTGTCCCGTAGGTTGCCTTGTAATAGGGTTACGATTACCACTATTGTGGTTTCCTAAATAAGTAAAGGTAAGGTAAATGGAGAAATAATCCTTACTATGTTACGCTAACTACATTGACTAAATGGAGAAGTAACCCTTAGTATGTTACGCTGGCTACATTAACTAAATGGAGAAGTAACCCTTACTATAATATGCTGGCTACATTTACTAAATGGTGAAGTAACACTTACTATGTTACGCTGGCTACATTGACTAAATGGAGAAGTAACCCTTACTATAATACGCTGGCTACATTGGCTAAATGGTGAAGTAACCCTTCCTATGGTCTTTTTACTATGTTAGGCTAGTTAATACAACCTCCTCCCAAGGTTGTCCCGTATGTTGCCTTGCAATAGAGTTACGGTTACTACAATTGTGATTTTCTAAATAAGTAAATGTAAGGTAAATGGTGAAGTAACCCTTCCAATGTTCTTCTTACTATGTTACGCTGGTTGATGCAACCTCCTCCCAAGATTGTCCCGTATGTTGCCTTGAAATAGGGTTACGGTTACTACAATTGTGATTTTCTAAATAAGTAAATGTAAGGTAAATGGTGAAGTAACCCTTCCAATGTTCTTCTTACTATGTTACGCTGGTTGATGCAACCTCCTCCCAAGATTGTCCCGTATGTTGCCTTGAAATAGGGTTACGATTACCACAATTGTGCTTTTCTAAATGAGTAAATATAAGGTAAATGGTGAAGTAACCCTTACTATGTTACGCTGGCTACATTGACCAAATGGAGAAGTAACCCTTCCAATGTTCTTCTTACTATGTTACGCTGGTTGATGCAACCTCCTCCCAAGGTTGTCCCGTATGTTGCCTTGCAATAGAGTTACGGTTACCACATTTGTGCTTTTCTAAATGAATAAATGTAAGGTAAATGGTGAAGTAACCCTTACTATGTTACGCTGGCTACATTGACTAAATGAAGAAGTAACCCTTACTATGATACGTTGACTACATTGACTAAATGGTGAAGTAACCCTTCCCATGTTCTTCTTACTATGTTACGCTGGTTAATGCAACCCCCTCCCAAGGTTGTCCCGTATGCTGCCTTGCAATATCCTTACGATTACCACAATTGTGCATTTCTTCCCCATTCTTTTTCTCCGTGTAAGCATATAGTTCCAGTAGGTTGAGGTTTGCGAACCGGCTCCAAACGTTGGTTACGGTTTATCGGCAGTTGCCTCGAGGGGGGTAAAAATCGCAACCGAGAAGCGATCATTCGCGCTCGCGCGGCTCCTCTTTCAAAAGTTCGAATTTCGAGGTGGTAGCATCGATTTCCCCCCTCCAGGAAAGAGCGGCGGGTCGTGCGATCGGGCAGAAACGCTCGTACTCGCGGCGAGCGTGTGTCCGCGCGTTCGCCATATGCAAATAGCGTCCGTGTACGCGCCGCATACGGAGGACGGGCACACGGAAGCCGTGAAAAACAAAGAACTCCGCCTGGCTTCGCTGAACTAAAAAACCAATGACCCGCGTAATTTCATTACGAAAATATAGATTGCCCTCGGCGGGTAGACGGAGAAAATTGTTTATAGGCATCGAGCCGGCGCTCCCGCGGCAGAATTCCCCCGGAAATCGCGCACTCCGCGCGATTCCCCCTTCCTCCAGTTTTTTCTTTTTTTTTTCCTTTTTTTAGTTGCCCCACCTCCCCCCTTCGTCCCTCGCCGCGGATAAATCATATGAAAATGGCCCCGGCAAATTCGTCGTTTGGCGACTCGCAAAAACTTCCTTCGGGACGAAAGCCCGGGACTTTGTCATGGAAATTTGGGCTCAAGGTGAAATGAAACACGTCAAGGAACTTGATCGATATTGGTAAAGAACTTTTTTCTAAATACCTACGTTACCAATGTTTGTTTTCATATTGACAGCCGTGTTGAATTATATTGAGTATTGTTCTAAATGGCATACTCAGTCTGTTGTTTTTGTACAATAATTGTAATGAAATCGAAGTAAAACTCCAGAAATCCTCTGGATTCAGACTTTCTGGGGCCCTAATTGACTGCAGAGGGACCCCCTGCGCCATCTGTGATTTCCGTGTCAACTACATTTTCACCCCGAGATCTCGCGTTCCCATCGTTTTAGCATAGAAGCGCATAAGACACTTTTTTTGCCTTTATCCCGTTCAAGTGCGAGTTTATCGATTACCAGAGTGTTCTAAATTGTTGTAAAATTGTCCTGACCCTTTTGTTTCACATATCAGAGCTTTCGATAATTGTATATTGATCGTAATATGAGAGCTCGACGCTATTTTGGTTCTGGCCTGGACTAAGTGAAACAATTTATTTCGAATAATCCAAATTTTGAAAGTGTCAGGATAATTCCTAGGTGCTCATGAATCAAGTGTCAAAATTTCAGACGGTTCAGTCCAATACCCTTAAAAAAAGTGTCTTATTCAGATCGACTGAATTAAGGGAAGTTCACTTCACCTTAAGGGAGGCAATGACTTCACGACTTTCCTGGCTACGAGATTAGTGCAGGGATCAAGAAATTCATTTGAGGGAAATTGGAGCTCGTCTTCTTCTCTCCCCATCTCCAGGAGCGGCGGTGATAAGGGCCGACGTCTACGATGACGGCGGACGGCACTCTAACGTCCAACACGTGTGTCTACGTCACCTCAACGCCACACGTAAACTCACGCGTTCGATCTAGAGTAAACGTCCATTCACGGTGCATCCTTCTGAAGCTGACGTCCGCCTTTTGGAGATCCTCCTGAAAAGTCTCATGCAATGCGACCCAAAGGAGCTTAAAGAGACTCCGTACTAAAAACTCTCGG